CCAGTGTCCAGACTGGAGGCTGAGGCTGTTGGGAGTTGAGATATGCCTCTCCCAGCCCATGCCCCCTCATTCGTTTCCCGCGTGGCTCCTCTCTTTACTGGGAGGAAGTTACTTGTGGCCGTCACTTCCTCCCAGCACTGCCGAAAAGCAAAGGGCCCAGTCGCGCTGTTGAAGGGCCACAGCATGAAACCGGGCCCCTGCTTACAAATACCCACCCGGTGGCCTCTTTAATATGCCCAATTGAGGGCAGCTGCTTTGGGCCCCCCAAGAGTAAATGGGCCCGGGGCAGCTGCCCCGGTTACCCCACGTTGAAGACGGCCCTGCCTGGAACCCCTACATACCAGGTCAATCTCACTACCTAATCCTATCTAAGAATAAACTCTAATCACCAATTACCACCCATCACCCATTTTTTTTACAAAAGAAAAAAAACAAAAAAAGTCTTCTACTGGGGCTATTAATTAGAAAATTAGAAAAGTCAGGGGGGTGGGGCCAAGATACAGTAATCCCACCCATCATACAAGCCCACTAGCCCAAAACAGACTACTCTCATCCATACACGCTACAACTGCCAAAGTGTCTCATAATAAGAGACATGCCTTCCTACACTCAGTCGATTCCTAAAGCAAGGGAATGAAAACTCACCCTTGGCCAGGTATGCCTGCAGCCATATTGCCAGCTATACAAGACCAGGGGTCTAACTCCAAACACTGTTTAACTCCCCCTCACGGGTCACTGAACCAATCACGACAGCCTTGTACCATCTTCCATTGCTTTAGATTGTCGGCGTTATTTACTAAAGTGTGTGAGCGTAAAAGTGGAATTGTGCTTGATGGAAGATACATCAGGCCTGATTTGTTAAACAGCAACCTGAGAATTTTCAGTTAAATGCCCCAGGGAGAGATGTTAGAGTTTGCAATCTACATTGATAAGGTTCTGCAAAACCTGGTATGGGTCCCTGGGGCGGAGTATTTGGAGAGCAGGGTGGGCCAATGCTCCAACAGCATTAGTTGCTGCGTAACAGACCACTATTTGGATCTGACTTACGAGTTAGTTAATTGGCACTCACCTGTAGCCAGTCAATTAGTAGACAGGCCTTTAAAAGAAGAGAGCAGCCTGCTGCAGAGTGAGGGAGAAAAAGCCAGCTAGGAGAGATTCTGTTTATTGCAAAGACATTTCTTTTGTTTGGAAAATTGGTAAGTGGGAAAGCCACCCAATTGCAGATAGCAATTCCTGTCTAGTAAGAGCTCAAGTAAGAGCAAGGGATTTTGTTTGTTTTGTTATTATTTAAAGCACCTGTTTTCTTACTGAATAAAAAGGAAAACTGAGCTGAATGTGTCCTGGACTTTGTATACCCTAGAAGGCTGTGGTTACTGCAAGATCTGTGACAATCCTACCTGTAAAAGAGGTGGTTTGTTACAAGTGATACTTCAAAGTGTATTTCAAGCTTAGGGCCAGAGTTGCCAAACTGGATAGGTGACTTGGAAGTTTTTTCCAATTTGAATATTTTAGCCTTAAAATTTTAAATATGAAATTCAATTTACTTTGAATTTTTATTTCAGTGGATCATCCTGTTAATCTTTTTAATTTTATTTTAATTTTGGTTGTGCATGGAAAAGTACAGAAAATCCTGCAATGCCACAACAGCACTTGCATCTGGACACATATCAAAACAAATAATTCAGGTATAACAGGAAAAGTTATTGTATGTGACATTGTGAAAATCCAACACTTTTGGTTTTCAATGTAAGCATTAAACAAACACGTCTAAGTCTGCACTTGTTAGTCAAGGCTGAATTGAACATTCTGAATGTACTGACTAGACATGAAGAGTATGAAACAAAAGTAGGCATTAAATCACAAGTTAGGTTGCCTCCGACAACTTAAAATTGCCTATATGGGAACCACTGTAACTGTAAAGCTCACTACAACACTGCACCACATGTTAAGAAAGGTAATAGAGTAGGATAAAAGTAAAGGAGAAACAAAAAAAAAAGAATTACGTTTGACTAGGTAACATTGTAGAGGTCATATGAAGACTGTGAGCAGAGAGGCACGTAAATTTCACTAAAGTTGGCCTGGATCTCTGACTGAATGCCACTGGCGACAATGCTGATGCACAGCAAGGAGTAAACATGTGAAATGCACCATCCCGCCAGATGGTATATTCCGCTGTCTGTGGTTGATCTTCAACAAGTGTGAGCCATGCGATGAGGCAATACCTTGTGAGGCTCTCGGCCCAGGTAGGTTAACAGTAGGATAGTGTAACGCTTGTGGATTTGAGTTACCCCAAGGGTGTCCCCCGCAAAACAGTCCTGCGTCACTCCACCCAAGGCTTAGACAGTGGGACTCGTGCATGTTCCTGTAGCCGATGCCAGAAGGTCTGGAAAATATAATCAAAGCATTGCAAGGTACATATAACACTGCTGCTAGTCAACTGCCAGGATGGATCTAGAGCTTTAGAGGTGGGTTAAGGCACAGTCACCATCTTATTTGATCTTGGGAGGCTGAGTGCTATCAGGGTACAACTATAAGCACTGGACATGTACATCAAAACCTGCTTGTTGGGTTTAGGTTGGGAACAGGACATCCCCCACAGGTCCAGATGGGGAGGGTTAGGAGTACAGTGGGACCAGGCGGTGGGTGTAAGAGAAAGATCTTCTCTGTCTCCAGCAGGCCACATCAAAGATTTTCAGGTTCCCGCCTGGTAGAGTTAAGAGCCGAGTAATGACAAATGGTGCACTGATGGCAGATATAGTGGCTTGTTGGCTGGGATAGGCACCGCCAAATCGGCCAAATGGTCAGGAGCTCGTGCAGCATGCGTCTGAGTCACTTGAAGACCAGGCTCCACGCCCCTTTTAGTATTTTTAGTGTATTTTATTTGTTTAAAGTAGATTAAGTATTCGAATGCTTCTGTTTGTTTTTTTCTTCTTTTTTAAAATGTTATTTTACAAAAGTGATGTAGTGGAGCATAAACATATGATGCAAAAGGAAAATCAGCATATCACTTTAGGGACTCTCCACTGTCCAAATGAAAAATATATATATTCGGTAGATATGCTCCTTATGAAAACATGCATGCATTTAATTTAGCTTTTTTTTTTTTTTTTTTAATTGAAGGTATATCTAAAAGCAATGCATGCTCAAGTTGTAGATCTCTTGTCTGAAGTCTTTGCAAGCCCTCCTCTTCTAACCCTGTCAAGTTTTCTGATTGACAACTATGCTTGTGTAACAAGTTACAATTACAAAAGTGCCCAGTTATATTGCAGTCTTCTTTTTTTATAAAACGAACAAATAGAGAACACACTCTTTTTTTATGTTAATCTTCATTTAAGATTTAAAAAAATAATAATTTTATATTCCCATATTATATTGCATAAGACAAACTGCAAGTTAAGAAACATGCAGGAAGAACAATGCAGGTGATGTGAAACACTAAATATATATGCAATAGAGATGTCGCGAACCGTTCGCGAATGGCTCGCCACGGTTCGCCACGAACCGATCGCGACGAGCTCCGGTCAGCTGACACATCCCGGCCAATCTTCAGCAGACCCTCCCTCCCAGGCCCTCCCACCTCCTGGACAGTATCCATGTTTCGCGACATCTCTAATATGCAATGTGAGAGGTATTTTCTGAATAGGTCTGCCAACACATAATATAATATTAAATGGAAAAGTGGTTAGGTAACTTATGTCCCTTTAAATTAAATAAAATTGTAAGCAAGCTTATGAGGGGAGAGATTGGATGCACTCGTGGCCGATCCTAGGGTCAGAGACGCCTGGGTGCAGAATGTTTTTGGTGCCCCCTGTGGGTGTGGTCATCTTACTAACTCCTCCCCTTTGCAGATGTCCAGTCCAGACATGCATGTTTCTACGGCAACAACTCCATCTATAAGCCCCACTCCCTTTTGTAATCAGGCACACACTTACTGACAGTCACACACTCTCACTGACAGACACACACACACTGACACACTCTTAAAGGACCACTCTAGGCACCCAGACCACTTCAGCTTAATGAAGTGGTCTGGGTGCCTGGTCCAGCTAGGGTTAACCCATTTTTGTTATAAACATAGCAGTTTCAGAGAAACCGCTATGTTTATAAATAGGTTAATCCAGCCTCTAAAGCCGCTAGTGGCTGTCTCATTGACAGCCGCTAGAGGCGTTTGCGTGCTTCTCACTGTGAAAATCACAGTGAGAAGACGCCAGCGTCCATAGGAAAGCATTATGAATGCTTTCCTATGAGACTGGCTGAACGCGCGCATTCAGCCGAAGAGGAGGAGAAGAGGCGGAGGAGAGATCCCCGCCCGGCGCTGGAGAAAGGTAAGATTTTAACCCCTTCCTCTCCCCAGAGCCCAGAGGGAGGGGGACCTGAGGGTGAGGGCACCCTCAGGGCACTATAGTGCCAGGAAAAAGAGTGTTTTCCTGGCACTATAGTGGTCCTTTAAAGGACCACTATAGTGCCAGGAAAACATACTCTTTTTCCTGGCACTATAGGGTCTCTAGGTCCCCTCCACCCTCAGGGACCCCCTCCCGCCAGGTTCTAGGGTGAGGAAGGGGTTAAACACTCACCTTTTCTACACCGCCGTGCTCCCTCGGCGGTGGGGACTCTCTGCCTCCTTTTCCCGTCATTGGCTGAATGCGCATGCGAGGCACGAGCCGCATGCGCATTCAGCCAGTCCATAGGAAAGCATTCTCAATGAGACAGCCACTAGAGGCTGGATTAACCCATAGGTAAACATAGCAGTTTCTCTGAAACTGCTATGTTTACAGCAGAAAGGATTAATCCTATATGGACCTGGCATCCAGACCACTTCATTAAGCTGAAGTGGTCTGGGTGCCTATAGTGGTTCTTTAATGACAGACACTCACTGACAGTCAAACACTCTCACTCACATGTAAATAGAAAATAAAGGCTACACTACAGAGGTACTGATAGTGAATTTTTTGGAGGGTAGGCCCCCCCAAACAATGTGCCAAGTTTCGGCTCTATAGGGCCTTAATCATACATAGAGAATATAAAAAGCAATTGTGTTTAAGTAGTCTATATGTTAATTAATTATTCACATGATTACAACCAGTTTATTAAAGGAAAACTGTGGCATGGATTACACAAATTAAAATGTGCAACAAAAGACAAATGAAATATACATGAGTAGAAGGCTTATACATCAGAGACAATCTTGTGAACGTAAATAAAGTATTGGCATTTTGCTCTCCCACCTATATTAGGTACATTCTAGAAAACTGTAATTAATTTTCATAGAAACTTCTAAAAAGGATCATTTGAAATATTGTATTTTATACAAGACACATACTTGAAAGAGCCACAAAGGCTAAAGGAATGTGTGAGATAATACATAGTAAATAATAATAATAAGCAGGTTAAACTCTACCCATTTAGCACCGCCATGGTCCAGGTGGGCACAATAGGAAAACACTACATCATAAATGAGAACCTATTATGAATTCCCTATTAAGTCCCTTTGGCCATAACATATCCAATGTATAAATCTAAAAGGCCTCTTACTTTTTAAGCAATCCTTTGCGATCACCTCCTCTCTGGAGAGGTGGTACATGGTCTATGTCCTGAAAGCGTACTTGTGATATATTGTGGGTATGGTCCTAATGCTGGAAGTTCCAGATACTGGCAGTTCCACCTTTCTGGTCCTAATAGAGAACTTATGTTTATTCAATATTTCATGAACCTTCATTGTGGTCTCTCCCACAAAGAGGAGACCACAAGGATACTTGAGAATATAGACAACATAAATAGACTCTCAGGTAAAAAAAACTTTTTAGGTTATAAAAACAACCTTTATGTGGATGAAAAAAAATGTATCCCCTTTAATGATGCAGTTACAGGAACAACAATTGTGGCATGGAAAAAAGTGCTATAGGTAGGAGTCTACCAGTGGTGGCGAATAATATGTGCCACTCTGTTACTATGGGGATTAAATTGAGACGCAAACAGCATACAAGGGAGATTTTTAGATGTTTTCTTTCTAGGTGCCAGGAGGGAATCCCTCTTTATTCCAAATATCCTATTATTTTCCGAATTTAAATGTGTGGTTGGATAACCACGACTCTAAAACCTAACACATCTCCTCCAGGCATTCTGAATGTTTATGAATGTCAGAGACATTCCTTGCCACCCTGGTGTATTGACTGCGGGGTAGCCCCTTGTGGATGCAAGCTGCTGCATTCTAACAAGCTATGCCTGTCTGTAGGTTTGGAAAATATCTCTGTGGAGAAACAATCTCATTCACGTATAATCTTGAGATCCAAAAAGTTAATGGCAGTCTCACTGCTTCCCATAGTAAACAGGATCTCTCTACAGACTTTGTTTATGTCCACGAAAAAAGCCATATTAGATCCCAATGTGGTACCTGTCAATTGCCTATAATAGTTATCTCCAAATAGGAAACAATTATTACACTCGCAGTCACACACAATCACTGATTTGACACACACTGACCGACATGCTCACTGACAAACACACTGACAGATACACACTCACTGACAGGCACATTGACACACTCTCAATGTGTGAGACATGCAATCTCACTGATTTGAAACAGTCACTGACAGACACACTCATGGGCAGCCATACACACTGATTTGACACACACTACACACAATCATTGACAGACACACAGTCTCACTGATTTGAAACACAGACACTGACAGACACACACTGCTAAATACACACACTGACACACTCACTGACAGACACAATTCTCAATGTGTGAGATACACAATCTCACTGATTTAAATCAGTCACTCACTGACTTACACACTCACAGGCCATGGGCCCACTCCTCGCAGCACCACCCCTCTGGCGCCAGGGTGCCGTGCATCCGCACCCAGGATCGACCCTGGATGCATTGGACACTATGTAATAATTCTGTTATTGAATGCTATAAGATTCCTATTTTGATGGATTAATTTACTAGTTTGCACAATTATTATTTAAAATGTATTACATAAAAGAGTGTCTTTTAAATATGGCCATATGGTTATTAATTTACCAGTTGTGACAAATATCCTTATAGTTATGTAACCCTGAAATGCAAACCACTGTAATCAAACTGATATATTGGATAAGCTTGCTGTCTCGCAATAGAAAGGTTAGTAGACATAAATCTTTTTTCAGCAATATAATTTTTACTTGTTGATTGTTGCCAAATATGCTTGTTGCCACCCAAGGTCAACAGATGCTATGACACCCCCATCTCAACCTCCATGCAAGATAAGCTAACAAAGGGTATGTGTATTATATTGTGAGAAATTGTATAGAGGAGGTAGCTCACATTCCTTTGCAACTGATAATTTGTATAAAAATGTCAAGCTCATTTTTTCGCTGCTTCTCTCTCTATTGCAATAAAGACGTGATCCTATACTTCCACTACTCCGGCCTCTGACTGGTTAATTGGAAAAGGATTTTTCATGGGGTAATATCTGTTTGGCTAACACAGTGAATCAACTATCTTGACTTAAAATTCTCCGGTTAATTCCCAACAATACACAGTAGCAGACAGCTACCCTGCCTCTAAACGATGATTGTCGGTAATTTTCCAGAGAACTTCACATTTTTGCTTAAAGGACCACTATAGTGCCAAGAAAACATACTCGTTTTCCTGGCACTATAGTGCCCTGAGGGTGCCCCCACCCTCAGGGTCCCACTCCCGTGGCGCTGAGGGGGGAGGAAGGGGTTAAACTTACCTCTTTCTCCAGTGCCGGGCGGGGAGCTTTCCTCCTCCTTTTCGGCTGAATGCGCATGCGCAGCAAGAGCTGCGCGCGCATTCAGCCAGTCCATAGGAAAGCATTCACAATGCTTTCCTATGGACGCTGGCGTCTTCTCACTGTGAAAATCACAATGAGAAGCGCGGAAGCCCTCTAGCGGCTGTCAATGAGACACCCACTGGAGGCTGGATTAACCCTAATGTAAACATGTTTATAAATAAATGGGTTAGCCCTAGTTGGACCTGGCACCCAGGCCACTTCATTAAGATGAAGTGGTCTGGGTGCCTAGAGTGGTCCTTTAAAACAGCTTATTTGGAAACATAGCCGAGTTGGAGATTTTTGGCGTAACATTTGATATGTACATCTTGCTTGATAACTTAGTGCAGGGGTTGACAACCTTTGGCACTCCATATGTTGTGGACTACATCTCCCATAGTACTCCTGCAGCCACAATGCTGGCAAAGCATCAAGGGAAATGTAGTCCACAATAAATCAGAAATGTTTAAGCTACTGAGCATGAACTCATTAAGGAACCATACATACTTTAACCTAGCAACCAATTCTAGTCCTGTCATTTGATTGGGCCGCGTCAGCTCCCCATCGCCTATCTAATTTTCCTATTGGTCAGACGTGTTAAAGGACAGCCAATAGCGTCGAGCCACGGTCCCTGTAATACACTTGTCAGGGAATGGAGGGATGCGAAGGGATAAAGTACCCAGGAGACAAATTAAATTATATTGACATCCCCGAAATAGAAAAGACGTGTCATTCACTAATCATCATCAAATAACAAAGAAACAAGTGGCAAGTAATGCAAATAAATCCGCAAGGAAGTCAAATCACCCAAAGGGCGCCTCCCTATTTACATTGCAGTTGGTGTAACCCGTTATAGGATTTCAGTCAGCGGACGATACCATTACCTCAATAGAGGGGCTTCTCCTCGCCATTCCTAATAACGCCCCTAAGAAACTTACAAACGCGTCACTTCATATTCAGTTATTTAATGGCATTTAGGACAGCACGTTTGGTTTTAGTCTGGTCTATCTATCCATGAGTATTTATTTTAGCCGCCCCCTTACCCTAGTGGAACAGTCCAGATCTAACCGGAAGTGAGGTGTCTACTGAGAAAGAGGTGCTTCCTGTTTTTGGGGAGCTGGTGACAGCAACAGCTGGAAAGGGGACAAGCGGGTGAGTGTGTAGCTGTCACTGTGCCGGCAGGTACCATGCTGCTGCCTGGGGGGCAGAGACTGCCATTAGTGAGGGCTAGGGGTAGGGAGTCCCAGAGCACACAGAACCGTTATGGGGCAAGAGGGAGTGCTGCTCCATTACTGACACACAGGGAATCAGGGTGCAGCACACTCAGGGCAGCAGGCTACAACTAATATCTCCCCTGAGAGGCTGCAAGATTTATTGGCCAAGCATCATGGGAGTTGTAGTACTACAACAACTGGGGGCCTACTGATTGGCCACCCCTTGGTGTACAGAATAACTGCAATAGGTATAATAATAATATACAATGGTGTATATTGGCAATAGGTGTAATAATAATATACAATGGTGTATAATGGCAATAGGTGTAATAATAATATACAATGGTGTATAATGGCAATAGGTGTAATAATAATATACAATGGTGTATAATAGCAATAGGTGTACAGAATAATCTACAATGGTGTATAATGGCAATAGGTGTACAGAATAATCTACAATGGTGTATAATGGCAATAGGTGTACAGAATAATATACAATGGTGAATAATGGCAATAGGTGTACAGAATAATATACAATGGTGAATAATATGCAATGGTGTATAGTGGCAAAAGGTGTACAGAATAATATACAATGGTGTATAATGGCAAAAGGTGTACAGAATAATATATAATGCCAATAGGTGTACAGAATAATATACAATGGTGTATAATGGCAATAGGTGTACATGATAATATGCAATTGTGTATAGTGGCAATAGGTGTACAGAATAATATGCAATGGTGTATAACGGCAATAGGTGTACAGAGTAATATCCAGTGGTGTGCAGAATATTAGCCATAGGTGTACAACATAATATACAATGGTGCATAATAGCAATAGGAGTGCACAGTAGTATACGGTGATGTACATAATAATGGCAAAAGGTGTACAGAATAATATACAATGGTGTACACAGTAGTATAGAGTAGTGTACAGATTAATATGCCATGGCGTATAATAGCAGTGGTGTACAGAATAATGTCAATAGGTTTAAATGGGTGCTATGCTGAACTGGGAAAGGGCTGTGTATTATGGAGCTAGTTCTAGTGGCATGCATGGTATATTTTGGCACTTAATGCAGATTATTTTAAGAAGTTTGGGTGCAAGAGACGTGTAATACGATAGCTACTTTCCTTCTAATATTGGCAAGGTAGGAGTTAAAAGGACGAAAGTAGGGATTGACAGGATTTAAAGTTATTAGATTAGACAGGATAACAGAGCTCAGTCATATTATTACACTTGTTTAATAGATGGCTAAAGGGTGGAGAAATTATATCTTGCATGAGAAATATTTGAGCTGAAAAAAATCTATAAATGAGTAGATAATTAGTATTGTGAATACGTTGCAAAGTGTAAATCAGTACCCAAAATAGCTATGGAATAAAATGGCAATTTAGACACCTTACACCGAAAGAGAAAATAATGATATAAGCATGGCTCAAAGTTTCCACTCTCCACTAGTCATTGATAAGTACAAATTCAGCCCTGACCAAAATGAATTCAATATTTGGCTTGTATTCCATGGGCACTCTGGCTTGCAGTGTTGACGTTTTGGAGTGGTGTAGGAGTTGAAATT